TGCGAGCTTTGCTCAAGAAACTGGTCGTAAGTCTCGTGAAGGCTGCATTGTCTACCTCGCTGGTGGACCCGTGCAGTGGCGCTCCAAGCTGCAGACGGTCACTGCCACGTCTACTGCTGAAGCCGAGTTTATGGCTGCTTACTCTGCGGCCAGCGAGACTATGTTTGTTGATCATTTGGTTCGTGAACTCTCACACGCCGTCTTCAAGCCCGTGTTGTTCAGTGACAACCAGGCGGCGATCCACATGATTACAAACGGAGCCAACTCTCCGGGCTCCAAGCACATTGCTGTCAAGTATCGCTTTGTGCAAGAGAGGTATGAACGCAACCAGCTCGATGTCCAGTTCTGCGGGACCAAGGACATGGTTGCTGACCTTCTCACCAAGCTGCTCAATGGACCGAGCCATCGTCGTTTGTGTGACATGCTCTTCCGTTCTCAGCTTGAAGGGGAGTATTAGAGGCACAATCTGAGACGGTATACTTTACCACGTTGTGTGTCCTCTGGTACTTGATGTTGTCCCATCTTGCTGTGCCATCTTGGTGTATCATCTTGTTGTGGCATCTGTTGGTCCCAACAGATTGCTGATATCGCCTCCACCTGTCTTCAGTGTGATAGTCCATTCTCTGTCTCCACTGTGTGTGTGTGTGTGTGTTTCCACCTGCTATAAATGGGAGCGATCTCCCTGGATCGGTACCATTTTCCTTCTTGACCTCGGTCGTTCCACTTCCCTCCTTCTGTCTTGTTCTGTCTTGTTCCTTCGCCTTGCTTCAATCCATGTTCTCGTATGCACTTCGATTGGTTGGATACCTCTGTGACAATCGCCTTGTCCACACACATTACATTGTACTGGACATACACCTTTAATAGGTTATGGGCCTCGAACGCGCTACCACTTGTCAGTCTTGACTTGGGATTCGAACCCCGCATCAAGACTACTTGTGCAGACCTGAGCTCGAGTTGCGTAAGCGCTATTACATAGCCAGTACAACTCAAAGTCGCATAAGCGCTATTGCATAGCCAGCAGACTATAAAAAAAAGGGGGAGCCAAATATAAAATGAGCCAGGTGTAGCAGTTGCATACTTGAAAAAGCACTGCAGGTGTGTGTCGCGGAGCACACCGATCTTGAACGCCATCCTTGTAAGGATGATCCGCCAGAGGGCATGAAAGGATTGGGTCAACTTCATCGTGAGGGATGGACAACAGACCACTCGCACGTTGAGGGGGACTATTAGAGAGTGATGTCAGATTCTTGTATTATATATGCGACAATATGCATCACATCAACGTACTAGTTATACTGTTGATAGCCTAGTGGTTTAGGCGTCTGACTTTTGAGTCGCTCTCTCCCATGCTACAATCTATTATGCCTTTAATAATCCCCACCACCCCTGGC